ACCCACACATCCAAGTATCACCTCCAAGGCAGCATCACCATTCTTCAGCACATGGACTCCTCAAAGGATGTGTGACGACCACTCTTGATGGGCAAAGGAACATGGAACCCAAACTAGGCCATTGGAGTCCAAACCACACAACTGAAAATCATCAGACCCCTCCTGACTCATTTTCACAAGGCCAGCAATAGCCCTGGCCATCAACAAAACACATGCCATGTCTCCACCAGGACTCCTCACACACCACAGCCCCAAGACGCCCCACTAACCCTTCACAGCTCCCATGCTTAGCATGGATCAGCACAATTTGGAGAGACAGCACCAAAAGGAAAGTTGCTCAGATAAGATCTTCTTATCATGGATAATATTTCACATATCACCCTAGCCATGCAAAAAGAAAAAGCATTTATTACAGAGTCATTTTCAAGAAACCTCTCTATTAGTCTCTCTCTTTTCACCTATAATCAGGAAAGAACCATCTTCAGAAGAATGAGACAGAAAGTAAACACCTGCAGAACTGAAGAACTCCCAACTTTATTCGGGTTATATAAGTCAAAGCAAATGATTGATGACATGGTTTACAGGCACTGAATACACAGCTTGCAATTCCCACACAGCATCTGTCATAAATACAAAATCAAGCTTTGAAGTGACACAATCATGATGACATGAAAATACTGAGCAAGAACCTGCCAGGGTTCTCCATGCAGCAGGAACACAGATCTTCTAGAAAATTCCTTTGGGAAGAAAAAGCTTTCATGGCTTCATCCTAAAGACAGGACGTAGACAGGGAATGGAGGAAAACATTCCCTTGACTCTTGCAGCAGGCATTCACGCACTGCTCACAGCACTCAGATTTCCAACCCTTCACACCATCCATGCTGTCCTTGCACCCAAATATCTTAAAAACATGTGACAGTGCAGGCCCACTTCCCCACACCATTTCTCTTCCCACCACCAATTTCACACAGCTATCTCTACAGCTCTGTGCTCTGCAAGCTGCATTTGCTGCTCACTGAAGTTCTGTGGAGACACTTCTTAGGCCTCAAAGGAAAAGCTGAGCAGTCTTCCAAGGGACACTGAGTCACTGAATATCTGCTCACAGGGCATTATGCCCACCTTGCAGCTCTG